GGACACAAGAAAGGCCTGGCACTGGTTCCATGAAAGAGCACATTGAGAGTGCCACTGTGTGCAGACCCCTTGCGCTCGCCGCGGTGCCGTCCTGCTGTCCTGCAAGTCACAGCGTGGTATTTTTATGCGCTTTTTAAATTTTGTTTAATTAGTGTCTCTCTTTCGTTCATTAATTCGCGATATACGGGACGCGGTGCAATGTATATTGCTTTTGATTAAGTCTTGGTAAATTATATATGATATTACAACGCATAATGAAACAAGCCATTCTGAATACAACATCTTTTCTTTTCTTATCTAAATAATTATAAAACGTTCTCGTTGGCTAAGTTGAGAATTCAGGGTGGTCTTTTTGCAATCTCCTTTAATTCGTTCGTGTGTAAGAAACGCTCCGCTCACAGAGAGTGGATGCAAAGCAGGGTGATTGGAGGTGTACCATACAACACATACAAACCTGTTACAGGTTCCTGCCCACACGCTGGTCCACACCCTGTTTATTAGCTGCACCGACAACTCCTTTAGGTGAGTCACCCCTCGAGTGGGCGGCCGGGGTCAGAGAAAACGCCTCTGGTCGGGGTCGCTATGATGTTTACCAACTTTTATCTTAAATGATGCTTTTTCACGATGGAGACTAGGATCTTCTTATCTCATTATCGTCTGTTGTTTGGGATTATGCGTGGGAAGGTTATCTAGCCAGCTCTGCGAAATCGACGGCTTTCCTTACGTTTAATTCGAATTCAAAATCTTTTTTCAAATGTTCAAAACGGCATACCTCTGCTTCTTCCAAATAAGGTCTACCCGACAATTGCCTGCATTGGGTATACACCAGCAGCCTCAATTAATGCTAAATAGAATTTGAGAATAAACTAGTTAGTCCGGCTCAACGCCTACGCTTTTTCACATGAACTTGGGTTGTCGAAGTCTGGAAAGAGAGAGAGAGAAAATCGTCGGGTAAAAACAAAAACTTCTTAGAATTAGCCCTAAAAGGAGCCTCGACAACCTTTTTGTCGGTGTTTACTGTTTATCTTGAAGGTCATGAGGTCAGGGCAAGGAGGACAGAGGGGGGGGGGATAGAAGACCAATTTTTAAATTACAACATTCATTGTCGAGTTACATTTTGCGGAAATTGGTCGTCCTATTAAACGAGGCTGGAGGCGAATAAGGGAGCCGAGCAGATGAATTAAAGTAAATAAAGGAATAAGTAAAAATGGAAATAAATCAAAGAATATTTGCTGGTATCTCCAGAGCATACGTGACGCGTTCGCCCATCGAAGGTGCATTCACACCCCTTGCGGGAGGCGGGAGGCGGGAGGTGGCAGTTCCGCCATATTTCAACGTTTTGTCAGCTTCTTGCATGACGGGACTGATGCTTTGGTTGTAGGAACATCTTCCTTACACACGAGACAGGCTTCCGAGGGAGAGTGAGAGTGAGGGCGCCGGCCGTGGCAGGGAGGGAGACGAGCTATTGGTTATTTATTCCCGCCAGACACATCCGTCAGGCGAGGGCAGTAAAAGAAGCCGCGCTGGCCATTTCCATGTTGCAGCCTCGCCCATTGATACCCCTTCCTCCCCCTTTTCCGTACCCTCATCGGGCGCTCTGGCAGGGGATCCGCCCCCGCACTCGCACGCCTTCGCGCCCACGTGCGGCTTACGGCGTGGGCGGCGGCCTTCGCTGAATATGGCGCCGGGAGTTTAGTTAGTATTCTTCGGTCGTTCTGCAAGTCGTTTTCACTTACAGACGCGGCGTGGCAGGCGGTGATGGCGTTGTTTTGACGCGAAACTTATGCTTACTGGAGTTTTTGTTGTCAGGGTCTACGATCGATTTTCCCTTTTTTAGGATAGTGAATTTTATCAATGGCGTGGCAGATCTGAGAATGCTTAGGACTTTCATTTTTGATATATCTGACACATTTTCCTTAATTATAATTCCTCTGACGTAATTAAATAAATGGCAGTAATTGCTTTTATATAGGGAGAATCAAGGTAAGACCGTCTGGACATAATACATTTTTCTCCTTTATAATCCAATGAGGAAAGTTTTCACCAATAAAAAAATAGAATAGTAAATAGATTCACAAGAATAGCTAGCGTGCAGTCGACATCGTCTTAGTGGGCGGAGGGAGCTGTCTAATGAGGGAGAAGTAGTTAGCAACAGCACCGGGTCTTCACTACGAGCTGGTGATCGGTAGTCTAGGGCTCTTAGGGTGAGTGCTGTTTGCTGAGCCAAGGACGCCAGAGGTTGATGAGTGTGGCTCTTGATAGACGGCTGTTAGAGAGGCCAGGTTAGGCGTTCGGTGGAAGGAATCTGTCCCTCCCTCCCTCCCTCATTCACTCACTCACTCACTCCCGCCCTCTCCCTCCTCTTTCCCTCCCTCCCTCCCTCCCTTATTCACTCACTCACTCCCGCCCTCTCCCTCCTTCTCTTTCCCTCCCTCCCTATATATATATATATATATATATATATATATATATATATATATATATATATATATATATATAT